ATTTATTAAATAATATATGTAATATAATCCATATAAATAAACAATAGTTCATTTTGAATCATTTATATCCCTAAATATGAAACAGAAATTTTTTTGATTATATAATATTATCCGGACACAAAGTATGGCAACACTGCTATTTGTCATAAATGTAAACACACAAATCTCTTGAAAGTTTGTATGTGCAAAATAGTTTTAAAACTATATTTATTTTCTTAAAAAATACAGAATTAGTGTAAATTTTTGATATATATGAAAGTGTACAGTGTAATTAAATATATATTAATTGAAAAATGTGAGAAAAGTGGGTTGAACATAGTGAAACAACGAGTAATGTTTCTACAAATTTTTTAACTTTAAACAGAAATATGTCGAAAATTATGAGTCTGAGGAGAGTATATGTGTGAACATTTTTTTAATCCTGAGAGCCTCCTCTATCCATCCGTATCATAAAATCGCGGCGCCAAAGGAATCGCAATATTGCCTTTCCGACTACCAGGATGGCATGAAACGTATTATTATTGGCAATGACTCTTGGATTTATGCTTACGACCCGGAAACAGACGATCAATTGGCCGAATATCGAAGCAAAGGTGAACCGAAGTAGTAGCCGAGGTTATGTTAACAGTTTTGTTTTTCGATTATAGAGGTGTGGTGCACTCCGAATACTTTCCAACTAGCCAAACTGTCAAAAAGAGATATTATTTGGGTATTATGCGTCGTTTCTGCAAAGCTATTCATAAAAAGAGGCTGAAATTGATTGATTGATTGCCCGTCGCACACTGCATTCATTTGTCGTGAGTTTTTCGCCACAATTTAAAGTAATATCGTGTCGCAGCCACCGTATTGACCTTAATTAGCTCCAAGTGACCATTTTGAGTTAATGTGAATCGCTATGCGCATTGAATAATATTCCGAAAATTGACTTTAACAGCTGTTTCGAGGATTGTATTGGTTCCAAAGGGGATTACTTTGAGTATCAATTAAGAATTTTAAAGATATGAGCAAAGTCTTACCATTTTTTGCTCATAGTAGAATAATTACTGTTTTGGCACAGTCTAAAGTGCCGACCACCGTTTGAGCTTAATTTGAAATAAAACAATTATTTTCTTGAAAATAAAATTTTATTTGCGTACACTTCCAAAACATATGCATACTTAGGTATATAAATACAAACATTTTTTATTTAAAATACATTTAAATTTTACAAATTAGCAAAAATGAAGTTTCGTATGCTATATACTCTAACCAAATATTTCTTATACTTAAGCATACATGTTACATTTTCTTATAGAAAAATAAGCAACAGTAATAAAAGCCAGCCATCACTTGGTAATTTGTTTAGATTAATACATAAATGAGGAATGCACCGCGACCTTAGGTCACTTGTCGATAAAAATTCTGAAAAAAAGTAAGTGCATTTTCAATATAAAAGGCTTTTGTGCTCAAAGCAACTCAAAATGAGAAGTGCGAGTTACACCGCCAGCGGTGCAAGTTTTCCTAACAGTTACTACAAATCTTCATATTTTAAAAGCTAGAAACTGCTTTTTCGGTCTCTTCATCGAAATTTTTTCGTATTATTATATATAAAATTATAAATATATACAGTATATGTAAGTATGTATGTTTCTATAAATTATTTAATTATATTACATAGAACATTGTAGCAGATCCTTATGGGCTTCAGTAGCTGAGTATCATGTACAGTGTAAAATCTCAATCATTTCAACTTAGGGTGCAAGTTTTCGAGTAGACAAACCTCCAACAAACGCCTCAGCCCCTCAGGCCTTCAGTTTCAGTGACCCTTACAGCCAGCAGCGACAGTCCTTAATGCAACCCATTAGGTGAGACTGTTTGGTGCGGCTTAGCACGTAGATGTACGGGTCGAAGGTGAAATTCAATGCCATCAGCACATCGGCCAAAATGAAGAAGGGATGCGCCTTCGGCACACGATTCGGTAGAATAGCCATAGGTATGGCAATCTGCGAAGCGTAAGAAAAAATAACAAAATATATGACAAGTTTGTAAGACACATTTAATTGCTACATTGAGGTCAATGGTTGTTTATTCAATTGAGCGCGCTCAAGGCGCACGGCACACGCTTACCATTTGCGGCATCCAACAGATCACGAAGCAGATGCTGAGAAGCGCCATCAGTTTGGCGAATTTAATCTCATCGGGGGACGTATTGGCTGTCATGGTGCCACTATTGCTGCGGTGATACAGTGACGAGCCGCTGCTGTTCGATTTGCCCTCGATCCACTGTATGCTGCCCGTCTCACGTTGCAGCGTATCATAGTGGATGTGACGTTTGCTGGCACGCTTGCGGCTGATTACACACAGAGCACGCGTCACAAACAAATTACAAGCAACAATTACGATGCACAAAAGGGTGCCTGCAATGTGGAAAAAACAAAATAAAGAAAACAACATGCAATTGGCGGATTAGCTGGAGGAGCAAGCGCGAGGTCGATCGCTTATCAAATAAAGTGGCAATTCATATTGAATCCTAATTATTGATATTTATTGTAGGGATAGAATAATTGAATGCCAATTTATCAAAGGTTATTGTTAACTGCTGCTACTAAGAATTTAAATATCGTACATTACCATAATATTGTATACTCGCATGTACTCGAAAAAGAGTTCTAGTGATTAGAGGGGTGGGATTGTACTTTCTTATTTACTTTGGCTGCGATTGCTACGCATAAATGTTTTTTGAGTTCTGGAAACAAATGGAAGTCAATGTGGGCCAAATCTGGTGAATACGGTGGTTGCTTCAACAAATCGAACTTTAATTCATGAATTTTAGTCATTGTCAAAATGTTCTTGTGGCACCGTGCATTGTTCTGATGAAAAAGGATTTTTCCCTTCTGCAAACCGCTTCGTCTTTTTTCACGAATATTTTCCTTCAACTGGCCCAAAAGGTTGCAATAACCGAACAAGCTGGTTCACACCACTTTTTAGACACTTGTTTTGATTTAGGATCATAGTGGTAGACTCAAGTCTCATAGTGATGAATCCCTCTTTAAAATGCTGCAAATATTGCTGAGAAGGTCGCATTCGAATGAGTTTTTGGTCCATTGTGAGCGAATGCGGCACCCATTGTGCCCACAGTTTTCTAAAACCTAAAATTTCACTTAAAATATGGCTCACACTGTCTAATGAGATGTGTCTTTTAGCCAATCGACTATCTTTACCATATTCTGTATTTTAGATATGATTTCTGCTGGTGCTACACTTTCCAAAAATAAGAATTTTATCACTGCACGTGAACCGTACAGCCCTTAGGTGAACAAAACTCTGTAGCAATATGTTGCAAGAGCATAAAAATGGCTGAAAAGTTCAGCCTGGATTTTACATCAACGTCAACCAAAAAAAAAAAATGATGTTTACGTCCTGATCGAATTCGATCTGGGAGTGGTCTTAGTAATATTTATATTCATCGCTTATTCTTACCATCAGTTCCATCAAACTGCTATATAATCTATAATGTTTTATGTTCGAAGAGTATAAACTTTCTGAAAATTTTCTTGTACCCAGCAGTCTATTAACATATTATTACTCACAGTTCATCAGTCTAAAACAGTTATTTTAATTGAGTTCGATCTGCAAATAGTGTTCTGAGTTGCTAATAGCAAGCAAATTATATATCTACCGGATTCACGTCTTCGAAACTGTGTCTAAACAATACGATAATCTTTTGGTTTCTAAAAAGAATAGTTCCCTACATATTCAACACTCTTCATTTGTTCCATCCATCCATTTTTGTCAAAAGTTTCTGAATTTGTATGAATGATGACCAAACGCATATTTTGGGTAATAGAATAGAGGTTTCACGCAATGAATTTACGGATGATAAACGTGCTTCTAACTCCAAAATACGTGAGTTTTGTTTTTATTACTTCCTCATCCACCATATTTCATGAATTAAGTCCCTATGGTAATTTTATTTAACTGCTGTCCTTATAGACAACAGCACCTTATTCGAAATGTAGTATTACTTTCATATAACAAAAATCAACATGCAATTTAAACAAAAATTAAAATTATGTATTCTTAATAAGGCAAGTGAAGAAACTCACCAAAAGACATAAACAAAACGGAGTATGTTTTATTCCAAAATCCCTCAGCATCACGGTAACGCAAGCATTTCGGATTTGTTGGATTACTCTCATCGATGTAGGCGCCAAAGCCGGTGAAGGGCAAAAACGTGACAACCACCGCAATAAACACCAATATATTGATGGTTTTACGAACAAGCGCGTACGTGATATGCTGCAGTGTACGGTTATAGGAGAAGAGAAAGAGCAAATAAAATTAGGCATTAAGAAGAATATTTCGATTATAAACATTATAGGGTAATAATTTTTGAACACATTCGAATGCATCTTACTAAATGCTTGAACTGAAGATATACTGAATATTTAATGAGGTATATTTTTTTGGGCTTTAAATCATTTTAAGAATGTTGTTTCACATTTCATACAAACCTTATGATAAATGAATGGTCTAGCTAACGCCATAAAACGTTCAATTGCCATCACTGCCGCAATGCAGCCGGAACTGAGTCCAAAAAAGCGACACAAAACTTTCAGCGTGCAATCCCAACGCACGTAGGCCTTGAACTCATCCTCGGGAACATAAATTTTAAGCATTATCGTTGTTAGTATGCCGAGCAAACCGATAAGGTTATTCGAAACCAAGCAACTGCAATAAGAAAGAGTGTAAAGTTAGAACACCTCTAGAATATTGTGCAGAATAGTATATGTTTGTAACAATAAAAAATTCCAATAAAATGTTTAATTTTTTATATGAGAAGAAAATTGTTGAAAAGGCTGTTTTTTTACCCGAGGAAACTCATGTAACGTAAGATGTTTAATCCTTAAACTGCCAGACTTTTCTTTGATAACTTTTTGTCTGGAATTACCATCGCATCTGTCTATTTCATTCAATGTTCGCCGACTGATACAATTTTACTACTTTCACGCTCGTTTAATGTGTAAACAGGCTTGCATGCGTGTGGTGAAAACACATAAATTCTGAATGTTACTTGACTCGTCTCGTTCAGAAACGCTAAATATAGATACATATGCAAATAGCTCAATATTTCCAGTCAATTTTTATTATAATTCAGCAATGACTTGTGTGTTTACTTACATACACATACGCGTGGCTATAAAATATCGCCTTAACAGCTTAAATACATTAATGTTTCTATGGTATTGCTGGCTTCATACCATCAAAGGTGCTAACGACTCAAATAAATACAAAAGCTCAGGCTGTTATTCAATGCGTAAAATGTAAAGGAAAGCCGCCTATGAATCATTCGAATAAAATATGAATGGCGTAAATGCAATGGAGTTAAGCTACAAATTCAATCTGATGCCACACAAACAGAGATGATATAATTATCCTGGTTACTTTTGACATTGACATTTAACCTGTCTACTGCTGTGGTTTGTAAATTTTGTTATAAGTGAATATTACTTTCATGTTCTTCCAGTTCCGTTAATAAATATAACAACAACAAAAATTGTATGTCTAAAAATAAAATACTGTTTCACTAATAACATCAGCAAACTTATTTTTTGTTTGGGTTTCGGTTTTCATGCTCAAACACTGATTCTTGACATGGGAAAACAATGGACTTTTTATCTACAACTCTTAAAATTTGCTTTTATCTAATACGAATAGACTTGTAAATCGAAGCCGTTTAGTTCAGTCAGCTCCAACAGTTTATCTTTACATGAGTTTTTCATGAAACTACATTTTCCAGTTCATATATATCTATATATAGTTTTCTACACAATCATCTACTAGCTTTTCGTCTGATCATAAATCGAATTTAGCAAACCAAAAAAAAAAAAAAAAAAAAAATTTGGGTAGAATTCCAATTTTCAAAACGCCCGCATTTAAATAAAAACTTGATTTTTTTGGACACAAGGTAGGGATAATGTCTTCTAGTATAGAGTTTTAAGAAATTCTTGCAGTAGTGAAGGATCTTTTCTTAGCGCCATAGGAGATCGCGTGGAATCATATGGATATAACATATTTTACATATATAGTATTTTCTTCAAAATTTGATAATATTTTTTTGTTTACTTAAAATATGAACGAGAGTTTTGACGATTGCAAAAAATGTCTATTGTCACCAATTTTTCCAATAAATGAATTAATAGACAATTATTGGCAAAGTTCCAAACAAAACAGTTTAATTTTAATAATAATTTTTAAAACATGTTGCATTGAAAAAATCAGTTGTGATCGAATAAAATTCTGTTATCAATCACGAGGTCATACTGTTTAGAAAAACAAGGAAAATTTTAAATAAGTTCGTTTCACTAGTTTTTGAAAAATCGTCAGCATCGGCTTTGAAAAGGATGTTTCGGGAAAAGCATGAGCAGAGATTGAAGTAGCGAACCAGTCTGATCTGATGGGCTGCTCTCCCAAAGGTTCTATCTCCTACACTTTTATTATATTCTAGACATTTCATAGTATTAAAAACTGTTTTATTTGTTCGTAACTTAAAAAGTGGATAATTCCCACTAAATTGTTGTCACTAATTTTCTTGGAAAAATGCTCATAATCTATGATCTAGTCACTTAGTTTACTACTTGTTTAACATTAGAAACAAACCTCTAAAGTTAAAAAAAAAGGATAGATTCACGTCATGCCTACATCTCTCTTAGTCGCTTTTCTACAGCTTATCACATTTCATTCCTTTTCTTATTTGCTTGGTTTTATTTAAATAATTTTTTAAAAAATCTGAAATTTAAGCTTTCTTGGTTATCTATTGCTGGAGAAAATAATTCGAGCTGCAGAGCTAAATAGAGAAGGTACAATCTTATGTATTAATGTACAGCTGCTGGCGCACCCCGATGATATTAATACCTTCTGCTTTCCCCAGACTAGATAAGGAAGCGAAGCAAATGGATCTGGTGGTGAACGAGGTCAAGAAGAAATATCTTCTGTCATCAAATAAACAGTCATCGCATTCGCGACTTGGCTCGCATGTCACTGTTGACAGCCATAACTTCGAAGTCGTATATAATTTCGTCTATCTCGGTACAAACATTAGCACCAATAACAATATAGTAGACAATTTTTACATTAAAGTTTTTTCTCGACGAACAACACCAAACTCTACAACTCTGTCAGCATTCCCATCCTGCTATAGGGTGTAGAGGTATGGGCAAGGAACGACCTCATTATTGTTTGAGAGAAAGGGTCTACAGACGATTTATGGTCTCTTGTGCATTGGTAGTAGTGAGTACCGCAGTTGATGGTACGACGAGCTGTTTGAAATATTATATACCTACTGAGAATTGATATAGTTCAGTGAATCAAGAGACAACGACTGAGCTGGCTACGTCATGTGGTAAGGATGGAAGCGGTGTTTTCTCCAATAAGAAAAAAAGAAACGTTAGAAACTTACTCCTAAAGTTAAAAGAAATAGCTGATAGTCATACATATACCCTTTCATTCGGTACAACACTGTTTATTAAATGTCCGTCTTGTCCATTTAGCCACCTTTTCTTCAAATAATTTCATAAAAGATCTCAACTCTGAACTTCCTTAACTTTCATACTATTGAGTGTGTACCACATTCGAGAATTAACTGTATATAATATGTGAAAGCTTGCTAGCTAGTATGTACATAGAAATATCAGAAAATATGTACGTATTTATGTATGGTATATGTTACAGCTCCGCATAAATGTTTTTGTATCATAAACATGCGTTTGTATAAACATGCATACACATATATATCGTATGTTGCTCTTTTATTACAAATACTAAACCTTATACCTTGAACTTGTGCCTCTTCCTGTATACCAACATGCTTGCTGGTACAACAGGCAAATATTCACACACATATAGCGTACATATATATATATGTAGTACATATGCACACGTGCGTAAACATATTTTAATGTGGTATGTTCAATGTACTTCGATAATCAAGGAATTAGTTATCAACAAGACAGCTCATAAGCTCTTCCAGTCATTGGAATATCGCTGGTAAAAAAAAAAAAAACAAAAAAAAAGTTTTATAAAAAAATTAAAAAAATAATTAAAAAAGAATTTGTAAGCATTTTTAAGGTTTCTGCAAAAAAAAAAATCGGAAAGAGCAAATTTTATATTATTTTGGCAAAATAACCGACAACCCTGATTTGCAGCCTATTTATAAAAGATTGTTATCGTACCGAAATATATACATGTATATATGTATATATACATATTTTAAGCTACAAATAAAATTTTTGATTGTTTTATTGCCGGGTAATTCATCATCATTGGCAAGTGCGTGTGCTGGCGATGCATAAAATTTTATTGCATTAACACGTATTTACATACATGTAAATGAATTGATTGAATACACATTTGTGCGGTAGGTAGAAAATTCGCTTGATAACATTCGATTAATAAAATCAACAAAAGGATATTAAATGAGAAGCAGTGTAAGAGAGAGAGAAAGCAAGCGAGTTGAGTTCCTAAAATGCCGCAAGTAAGCTAATAATAATATTTAAAGAGTCAGCGAAATATTGAAATAAATCTGTAAAACAAATATTTTTGTAATTTTCCTTAAAGTTTGCGAAGCCTAAACGAAAATCTCTTTTGTAATGAGTAATCAAATGATATTGATTATATACAAGTGGCTATAAAGAATTATTGGCATATGAAGCAATAAACAGAGCGTTGCGAACCTTTCTTACTGGAATCTTGTTATTTTCTCTACTGCCTTCCATTAATAGTAAAGTGGTATTTGTAGGCACTAACATGTTACCAATGCATTGATTTGATGTTTCAAGGTTGTTGGATCAGCTAATCTTAATCCAGCAAGTTTGTTCTTGATGAGGCTTTAATAAGTACAGAGAAAGAGAACGCCTTTTACTTTTGTTTTAACCTTCTCGACCCAACATAAACCAAGAAGCCGCTGTTTAATTACAAATGAATTGGTTCATAATCCTAACCTCTTTCTTGCAGACATTATATAATTGCCCAACTTCTTAATCTTTGAATTAAACTTTAAAGACAATTTCGCCTCTCTTTTTAACTACTAAAAACAGGAATGGAGTAGTGAAAACTCGATAAATTTGCTATCTTTTATTTGACTAAAAAATATTTAACTTGACAACGTTAGATATAATTTTTGATTTTTTAATTTAGAACAAGAACTTCGAAGGACAATTTAAAAATGATCCTTAAATTCTTCACACTTTTTAAACTCACTCCTTAACTTTAAAAAGGTGTCGAAATTTGACTTTCATTTGTTACAGTGAAATAGGAAGGTCCCTTTTGTGCACGTATGCAATCAGAATTCGATCAATGTAATGTTTTTTAAATATATTTACACTATCTGATTAAATTCGACTCGGACAGATCCATTTAAATTGCGAGAGATAGCAGAGGATCTCAACATCTCTTATGGTTTAACTCAACGTCAATTAATGAGTCCTCGTGACATTCGCTGTGTGGCTTGTAAAACCACATATTTCCATATCATCCGATTCGTGTCAAAAATATTCGGTTTTCATTGAGCGGTAGTGATTCCCATTCACCGGCCCATAAACCGTAATTTTTTCGGGATGCAATGGTGACTCATGGAGTACGTGTGAATTGCTGCCTGACCAATAACGCATCTTTTACTTATCGACGAAGCCATTCAGTTAGAAATCAGTATCATCGCTGAAAATGATTCTTCG